CAGCAAACTTGCTGAGGGTGCACTTGATGCCGCTGTCCATGTTGCCGACAAAGACGTTAAACGGCACCAGTCCCAGTACAGATCCCTGAGGAACACCACTTGTCACTGGTCTCCACTCAGACATCGAGCCGTTGATCACAACCCTTTGAGTGCAGCCTTCCAGCCAATTCCTTATCCACCGAATGGTCCATCTGTCAAATCCCTGTCTTTCCAATTTGGAGACCAGGATGCCGTGTAGGACAGTGTTGAAGGCTTTGCACAAGTCCAGACAGATGACAGCAGTTGCTCTTCCATTGTCAATCGATGCTGTTACTCCATTATAAAAGGCCAGCAGATTCATCAGGCAGGATTTTCCCATGACGAAGCCATGTTGCTTGCCACCAATCACCTCCACATTTTCCATGTGTCATAGCAGAGCTTTCAGGAGGATCTGCTCCATGATCTCGCCAGGCACAGAGGGGAGACTGACTGGCCTGTAGCTGCCTGGGTCTTTCTTTTTTCTGTTTTTGAAAATGGGGCTGATGTTTCTCCCTTTCCAGTCAGTGGGCACTTCACCAGACTGCCATGGCTTCTCAAATATGATGGAAAGAGGCCTAGCACTTGGTCTGCTAGCTCTCTCAGGACCCATGGGTGGGTCTCATCAGGTCCATGGACTTGTACACCTTCAGGTTCTTTAGATAGTCACAAACCTGATCTTCACTTACAAGAGGCGGGTCTTCCTTGTCCCTGTCCCCACCTTCAGCTTTTGCAGCTTGGGCAATGACATTTCAGGATGTGTATCAGAATAGCCAGTTAGGTTTATTTATTTAAAATATTTTCCTCAGGGGTTAAAATTAAATCTTGATTTCCAATAAAATACTAGACAGACACATGAAGATGTGATCAAAATCATCTGCTTGTAAAACACAGCCCTCTTGGTTTCAAAAGACGCCATTTGTTGATTTCATATCTCCCTTGATTCACATCTTGCGGCAACATTTTTTCATAAGCCAAGCCTAGAGCCAACCCAAGCCTTTAGGGCTGGCACACGTCACTTCTAGCAACACAACAGTGAAGGTCTGGCATTTCTTTGGGAGGGGTGCGGTGTCTGAATAGTAACCTCAACGTAAGTGTTAAACCTGAACCTCCTTTACTACACAGAATCTATGATACAGCAGTATTTACATTTAACTCTCCAAAAACATCCCAGAAGCTGTTTTATAGCAAATCTCTGGTCCAAGTTCAAGAACTCCTTCCCCACAGAATTACAGATTTGTGCTTTGGAATACGTTTACTAAATACTCAAAAGTAATCATCATCCCTCAATACTTCATGTGATCCGCATCTTGGCTCTCCTATGACCCCCAGTTCTTCTCCTGCCCATTCTAGCTGTGTCACCCCAACTTTTCTTGACCAACACAACGTACGCAATCTTAAAAAAATACCCCCCAAAAAGCATGCAGACTAATGATTCAACATACTCTCCAGCACTTAAAGCTGTAACAGATAAATAGCACTGTTTGCCAGCAAACTTGTCCGTGACGAAAAATTTCCGCCTCATGATGAACTGGAAAACCAAGACACTTATATCAAAGAAGGCTGACATGGAGAAGATACTTACCTGATTTATCAAAATCCGTGTTTCTGTTCAGTACTAAGGCAAGACACAAGAATGACAGACTGGCAGTCAGGGGTGTGCTGCAGATTTTGGTTCCGAAAGCCGCTCAGCTGTCAGATCCTTAGCAACCGAGACAGCTCATCATTACCGGGGCTTTGCTGTCCAACCGTCTGGGCCAGGCAATGCTGATTCTCACGGCTCCTGTTTCCTGACGCTCACTCTTTATGGCCGGCCGTTAGGTGGCCACTGCTCCCTCCATTGCTCTGCAGAACCGGCTGGTGGGGGAGCAAAGAACAACGACACAAGGTTTTGATCCAGTTCAGGTGCAAGTCCCATGACTGGCTTGTGGCAGCAGGAAGAGCAGGCAGCTCCTGCCTAGGTGGGAAGAGACAGCTGCCAGTATCACTGCTGGCTGGACGTGAAATGGTGTCACGGCCAAACAGAAACAGCCCTAAGAGGTGGGGGAGGGCTGGGAAGAGGTACCTCAGAAGGGGCGAGGGAGAGACAGTACAGACCACAGACAGCTGGGTTGAGAGAACAGATCTTCCTCTTTTGACTTTATCAAGACTTTGTTATCTGACAGACTTCCTTGGGGGTTCCTGGAAATTCAGTTAAATTTGTTTACAGCTACATGGGGCATGATGAAATTTATCTTTTGAAGCAGCTCAAAAATTCAGACCAAAAACTCCCTAGTACTTCAGACATAGTAAAGATAAAGAAGCAAATTTTAGTAAAGGTAAGGAAGCAAATTTTCTCCTGGCAAGAACAAGGTATTTGCAAACATCAAAAGTGGTTTTGTATATTTACAAAATATTATAAATTCATAACATTTGTCCAGCTTGCATGTATGAACTTTACAAAATCCCCCAGTTACATCATACGGAATTACAGAAGTTTTATTTTAAATTACTGAAAAGCACACCTTATCCAGTATTTTCCATCCAAGTAAATATACATATCAAATTAAAAAATAAGTGTTATATTTTCTTTTTGTTTCAAGACACAAGGGATCACAAAACCATCCATCTTTTTTAGATCCAGGGCAGAATTCTTGTAGTGAGCATTTTAATGCAACTACCAAGTATTGTTCTTCCCAAGTTAAGTGTTCTCGAGAGTGATTTAAAAAAAAAAAAAAGATTTAAAAAATATGGGGAAACAGAAACAACTTCCACAGATTATCAGGCTTAGGAGATGGGAAACGTAATACTGACCACAATTCATGTGGTTGTGTCAGTGCTGAAATGAAATATTCCTCTTTGAAGATGTTCAAGTAAGACCTGAACAGAACTGGTAGCTAATTCTACTAGAAAGATTTCATACAATGCTGCCATGATACTGGGAAAATTATCGCTTTTTAGAAAAATCTGTATTTTATAGAAACTAACGCATTATTTGTTGTTTATCAGTCAAGATTCACACACCAGCAGACAACGACCTCCCTCAACAAGCAAATCTAAAGCAGGTTTTAATACATTGCTAACAACACGATGTGCTAACTAGGTATTTTTCTTGTGTTTAATCCAGCATATACGATAATATTATAAAGGAATCCTCACAGAAAAGAGGACAAAAGATCGAGGTTTCTGTCATGGACAAAAACTTTATAAAAACATAATACAAGTAAAATAAAAAATATATATAGTTCATGTCAGGTTAGTTAGTAGTGGCATTTGAGGTTTCTGGAGACTGAAGAAATTCATAGGGATCATGAACCATGTCTTGCTGTTCTCCAACACTCAGATGAGAAGGGCTTCCTGTAGAATATGGAAAAAAAATAATCAAAACCTTTAAAAGTACAGAAAAATAATGGAGAGATATTTATGTATATAATCAGCACAGTTATTTCAGATGTTCCTTTCAGACTTTTAAAGCAAGACAGACATTTAAATTATAAACAGGAGATTTTGAACAAGAAATTACAAGATTCTTCAGTAATTTAGATCTCTTTTGAAAACGCAGTCATTATTCTATTACTCTGATCTGAAAATAGCCAATATCTCCTGCCCTCTTAGAAATGGCACCAAATTGTTAAGTGGTAGGTTACCCTGTCTTACCGCTGAATTTTGCGGTTGACAATGGAAAGCTACTGCAGAATCCCACCTGTTACCTGCGGTTTGCAACTATGCCAAAGTAAAATAAACATCATATACTCCTTAGTATTTTTAAGAGCATAAAATGCAAATGCATGTAGAGATTTGCCAGTCAGTATCAATTTACTTCACAATTACTTCAATCATGCCTCATCGAAAAATGAGTAACTATGATTAGTGTCCTTAATTCCACAGGTCAAAGTATGTCATCTTAGTTGCTTTTGCCACGCACACTTAAAGATTAAAACGTGACCTTGCAGCCAGCACGCCATTCCATCAGAGTAGTTTCGTGTAAAGATTTACATAAATTCAAACTAAGTTTTAATCAGTGTCAATTCAAGCAGAAGTACTGCAACTGCTGTGAGACAGGCAACTTTACCAAGGTGATGCTGGTCTCTTTCAGAGGTATTGGAGAGGGAACTCAAATTGGATGACGGCCGGGATCCCACTCTGTCAGCCTGAGCTTCATGAAGGTCCTGCAGCAGCTTAGTTGTTTCATCCAGATGTAAATGGTTATCATCATGATCAAGCTCCTTCTTCACTTTCCCTAAGGGCCACCCAGTTACCAACCAAAAACCGTAATCAGCACATGCAGATTGAATTACCAAGTCACTACAAAAAAGTTCTAAAATAATCACAAGTGTTGTCTGTTACACTAAAGACCTCGACCTTGCATTGTACTTTGCACTTCTAAAAGGCAACAGCCACAGATCCGTTTTGAGTTTCGAGAAATACCTGTGAAATGCATCTGGTGGTACTGGAGGATGAAGGAGGGCACCATGGGAAATGGCTGAAACTGAACCAACTCCCAGCATTTAAACAGCTATAAAAGCTTAATTTGTCTTCCTCATCTGTTGAACTCCAGACATGAAATAATGCATTTAGTTTGCAGCAAAGGAGAGGGAGTCAGTAGAAAGATCACATAAATATCTAACTTCAAATACAGTTAAAATAGAACATGTCATTTATGGAGGTGACAAAATCCCCATCACAGAAGGTTTTAAGAACAGTATCATCTCCAGCTACACTGATTTTATGGGAAGCCAAACAAAATTGTGCAATTGCGAAGAACTGGAAGTACGTGCCAACATACGCTGCTCTTTCATCGGACGACTTCAAAAAATGTCCCTCAACTTTAAACAGGAAAATAAACTCTTTCTCTTCTATTCAGGCTGTCTTCAATGCAGACCTTGCTAACTTTACAAGAATTATGATAAGAAATAATGCCATAAACTCTCTCTGGAAGCTAAGTAATCTAGAGGTATGATTATCTACAGAAAGATCGAAGAAGAAAACTATAAGCAGTTTTCAGTGGACCAAGAAACTCATAGTAAGGCTGATATGTCTAAACATTATCTATAAAACAGATATTTATTCATTTTTTACTGAAGTGTAATAAAATTAGTGTGTGACAGCATAATCAGAGCTTACAATTGCTCTTCAAAGAACACTGCGTCTATGGGAGAAATTTGTAGAAATTTTTTTTCCCTTTAAGCTTTCAATTACCTTGGTTATATTTTATAATAAATAGTTTGGCATCTTTTGGCATTCTGAATTCAAAGTATCTTAAACTAGAAGCAATATTTTTCTTTTTCGTGATGACATTTTTGAAGACATTTGACCAGCTCAGCAGCCTGCAGAAACAGGAACGTTACTTCTCGTAGTACTGAAAGAAAGATACCTATCAAAGGCCTGGATATGAAACAACGTCCCAATACTTTTACACAACTGCCTTATTTGAAGCCAAAGTCTTTGCAACACCTGAAGTTTCTTCTGATTTTTGTTTTGGGGCCTTCCACCCTTCACATACTTACCTACTTCCCACGTTATTTCAAAAGACAGCAAAGGAAACAATAACATTTCTGAGCCAAAGCTCCACGCCAATTCTTAAAATTTACATTATTATGAACACATAAAAAACAAGCAAAGCTATCAAACTTGTGAGGGACAACTACTTTGGTTTCTTCAGTGGTACAGGAAAAGGTAGCTTGGCTAGCACATGGGTGTCTCAAAGGAAAAACAGATGAAGGTTTCATTTGTCTTGCACCAGTCCTAGACTTCTACCTACGTCAAATGTAGACTTATTACTACATTTTGAACACTTTTTTTTTTTATTCTCAGCAAATCCAGTTGTTATTTTGCCTAGATGGTACAACTAAACCGGAGTTGATGGCTTGTATATTTAATTGCTTACCTAATGAACTTAACATAGAAATATCAAGAGATACATCTGAATATGGTTTCATAGAGAGAAAGTCCAGGTCAGAAGTGTTACTGTCTCCAGCAGATTCTCCAACCTATTAAAATACAAGGAACAGAAAGACCTGCAATAGTGACAAGCTGTCACAATAACTTTTTAATGTTATTTTAATGTTAGAGTTTCCATACTCTCAGAAGCGTGCACCGCATCAGTTAAGACTGCAGCATCCCTAACTGTCTTGGCTAACCTGCCACTCACAGGCAGCTCAAACATGGCTCCAGGACAGACCAGTCATATGAATGGCAAGGGACCTGCAGGGCAGTCAAAATATCTTTCATCTCATCATCTGGGACTGTTGAAACCAACAGTACTGAATCCTCTGGGACTCAATTACATGCTCAACTCATCCCTGCCCCATGGCAGAACCCTGGTCGGGGGGAAGCACTATCAGTATCTCCCACCATCAACCACTCCCAGACCATCTTTTCCCTTATCTTCTCAACGCAACACTGGATTTATTGAATTTTTTAGGATGTGGCTAATAAAACCAGTAAGGTGGGCCTCCCTATACATAGCATCAGCTGGAAATGGTGTCTCAAGTATTTTTCCTGTACATTTGGATAGTGAAATACCGCCTGCACTACAACGATTTCATTTTTTCCATACCTGTTGCACTACTGCTATGTAATGACAAAAAGTAAGAGAGCAAAGTGAAAGTCGTTAAGCTTCAAAAGACATTCTAACAGAATTCTCTGGAGTTGCCTATTCCAGCAGGAGGAATAAGATATACAGGTATACACACAACCAGGTATCATCTTTTAGAAATATGAAAATGAAACTTAGAACCTCCATGAATTAACTTGACCAGTCATCTTCTAGAGAAATACAAACCATTCTACATAAAACTATAAATTTTATTAGTTGCTATAATGTAATCACTATAATTTTTACGTGAATTGCCATGGAATACAAAGCATATCTTCTGCTATCACAAATAATTTGCAATATAAAACCTGTACCGTTTAAAGAAAGATTTGATTAGTAGCTGTGATAGCATAAGATATGCATTACAGACCCCTACTTTCTACAGACATTTTCAGTGGCTGCGGTAAAACTGATTACTGTTGGCTTTTTCCACTTTTACAGCAGACTGAACCTTAAGTATCCACCAGCAGTGTTCACCAAGTAGCTTTCAGATTCCTAAGTGGTCTTTCTGCCTCTGAGATTTAGCTATGCACACTGAATTCAACTACAGAATATGGAACAACAGGACAAACAAAGCCACTCACTAAAATAAAATGGATTCTTTGACACTCAGGCGAAGTACTAAAAGCTTATTCTCGATACTGTAATTTTAATCTTCTACCTCAGAGCATGCATATCCTTGCACTGACACAAAATGTATGTCTCAATATACCTTTTTGTGCTGTTTTGTTTTTTAACACACAAACCATTTTACCATAATCTGTTTGGAAGAATCTGGACAGGTATTATGCAACTTGTGTTCTTCTTTTATGAGAACTGGCAGAACCTAAAGAACCAAAACATATTTTAGAGCTTAGCTTTTCACAGCCTATACTCATGTTTCCTAAGAATACTCTTAGCCTGTGTAATTTACTGGTTTGCCGTGATCAGATCCTCGGCCACCACAGAACACTATCCCATTTTGTGCTGTTTACATTCATCCTTTACAAAAAAATAGAGGCTAGCTCTTCTCTAAGGGGTGTCCATATACATTCAGGCAAAAAATTTAACCAGGATAGCCTCTTTAGGACTAACCTAACAGCCTCTTCTTTATCATATAGTCCACTTACCAAGCTTTTCTGCATTATTATACAGAACAGACGCACATTAGATAACACTAAGGATTTGAACGCTGGAAGCCCAGAGAACATCACTTTCTCTACTTTAAATGCCAAGATACTTTTTCCAGTAAAAAACCCAACAGACTGAGCACCAGTGTAACTTACTTTAACTTCATCCAGTGGTTTTACTGGGATGTTTCGCCTCTGCAAAGAAAGAATATTAACAATTACTTTTACTCAACATAAGAGAAAGACCTCTCTCTTGTACAATTTCAAGTATATTCAAACTTCAAAATGAGGCTAGACACAGCTTCTTCACATCTGTAATGCAATTACAAGGTGACAGTTACTGTTCTGAAATATGTTAGTATTGCGCATTTTAACTGATCTTTGAGTCCCCATGCACTGCTGCTTCTGCACATGAACTTTAGAGTCAAGCGCAGTACCTTAGTCGTTACCTCAGTAACTTCTGATTCCAGGTAATTTAAGGTGGCACTTTCAGAGATACTCGTTCTTAGTCAAATGTAGCAGCACAAAATACTCACGCATAAAACACCATGGCACCTCATCACCAAAACACACTGAATTGCACAGACCCACCTATGTCACACCCAAACAGCATTTCTAAGTGAAAACAGGCATTGACCATTTGAAAGGCATTCAGGAACTCTCATTTGGAACAATATTCACAGAACGAGGTGGCAAGAAGGAAAAGGCACATGTTTTGTTTCATTTTCAAGCGAAGTTCAATGTGTTGTATACACGTTTCTACATGTAGAAGAGTATTTAAAATACTGGCTTTAAACTTCTTGAACTTTTGAACCTTTTTTAACTAATTCTTTACACTTCTTCCTGTTTCATATAAAATCTTTTTCCAGTAGGGACTGGAAAAAAAACTCCAGAAAATTCTGAAGGATTCTCTGTATTTTTTCATTCAATTGCCTCCTTTTCCCCAAACATCACACACCCCATCCTACTTCTAAGTCTGCAGAGACTTAGCATAATCTAATTTACACTGTGTCAGGAAGTCTGAATACCTTCCAGGCTACCCCCACCTCCCTTTCTTTGTTCTTGAATCATTCAGAATGCCATCATTTTAAACAGCAGGTAATTATTTTAAACTAAGCAGGGTTTTCAGAGTGAAGATAACATGAAATAAGATTTTGCAGTTTCTGGTAGTCTATTTTGTCTTGGGAATGCAAACATTCCCACTAGAGCTATACACACTGCTGAGAAAAATCTCTTCTCCAGTTTTAGCATGAATCTTCCCAGTGCTTTCAGAAATAAGTTAAAAGTTTTTCCTTCAGACATGCTACATGAATTTACAAGTCAGCACTGTTGGGGAATAGCTATCTGTACAGCAATATTAATCTGTTCTCCAATATTATTTAAATAATTCATCTTTCCACAAATAATCTATTTGCATTTAAATTAAGGAAAAAACCTCCTTAACAAAAGCATTGCACCATAACTCAGAAGCAGATCCATAAGTCATGGCATTGAGTGACAGGGCTGCACACACACCACGCAGTTGTTTGGTCCCTTCTCCCCCCCACGAGGCTGTGCCCCCCCACCTCTTCCCTGCTGCAGTCACAGCGTGAGCCGCGTGGAGAACTGACCTAGCTGGAGGGGAGAGAAAGATCACTTCCCTGCTCACCAGTTCAGTTCCTAATTTGGTTCACACGTGGCTGCATGAACAGCTCAGCCTGCACTGCTTACACCGACAGGGAAAAAAAAAAAAAGCACCTCATACAGTATTAAAAACCAGAAACAGGCCCATTCTTGTTCTGACGACCTTGTGACATTCCTGTGCATCAAGGACACACCTGCTTCAGCTGATAAATCGTTTTGGAATGATCTCCACTAGTGATCTGGTCCAGAAGATCATCTACTATTTTCTTGCTGTAATTTCCAGCATCCTTCACAAATTCTTGTAGGCTAGTAGGAATGGAGATAAAAGCATGACAGAAAATGTTCACTTCCGTAAAAAATATTTCAACTTTTAATACGGTTTTCCCCAACTATTCTGTATTACACCTTTGTGTAATTTTCCTTGTTCTTTCAGTCTTTTATGCTTCTTCAGAAAAGCATTTAAGGCCTTCAAGATTAAGACAGGGTCTTTTCCTTTTTTTTTTTTTTTTATTATTTTAAATGTAAGTAAATGGATATGCAAACTTCTTTTTCAAATCTACCAGCAAATTTTCATTTGAACTATCATTGGTAGTGGGTTAAAAAAACCCCACAACAAAACACAAAGAAAAGAAAAAAATCTGGTGTTTAATTCTTTCCTTCCAAGATTGACAATTTAATGAGAAGTGGCATCTTCCTTTTCTAGTTGCTTTAACTGTTTTGAAACTCCTTGAAAACTACCACTGTTTTAAAGCCACTGAAATCCATTACTTGCATATCTAACTGTACTTACTGCTGTGTTCAAAATGCTAAATCTTTAGCAACCTTGAATACCCTGTGGTCAAAGATCCTAACAAGAACAGTAACAGTCTTGCAATAAAACGGGGCAATTTAAAAGTGCAAATGGAAACCCCCCCCCCCCAAACCAACCCCAACCAAACCAAACCACACCACAACCAAAGAACCTACAAAATCCCCCAAAACACCAACCAGGCTGAAAGCTAGTTTCAAGTTTTATAGTGAGTTATTTTTTAAAATAAGTTTTAGAAAAAAATACCAGGATTTGGAGTCTCCTAGTTGGCGTTTAGTCCGAACTGCTTTTCATAAAACTGGTGTAAGAAGTTGGGCCTCCTAACGAGTACGTGCTTACCTTAAGGCACACTGTATCCCAGTTTCATCGCCATATGCCGAGTACAGGAGGTCCATTTCATCTGATTTCAGATCATGAAATATAGAGTTGTTCTGCATGGAAGGTGCTGTACTAGCACTTGTAAGAAAGGTTACTACACAGGTAGAAGAAAGAGATGACAAATGATGAACATAAGTGTAAAAGATCACTTGAAGGGGGGGGCGGGAAGATTTTGTTTTCTGCAACAGATACGACAAGTGCGGTGTGTTTTTTGCTTTGACTGAAATCATGAGCAATACCTCAAGGACAACTCCAGACTCTACAGAATCAGTGTAGCTGCCTTATCCATATACTTACACGTCCTTATACTACCAGCAAATAAAGAATGACATTACCCCACTCCCACAAAAAGAAGATTCATCCCCCCTACTCCCTTTTACTTTTCTGCTTTTTGCATGTGTTTGCATCAGTTTCTGGCAAGAGAAACAGAAACTATTAAAAATGTCAACAATACTAAAAAAACCAAACAAACCAACCAACCACGGTTTGTGACATCTTTATCACGTGATACAAAAATGCAAGTGACCCAAGGGTTTTCTTCTCAACTCTTAAGCGCAGCTGTTCAGGAAAAATTATTTCCTCCAGAGAAAATGGAGAACTGGAAAGCTTCTAGTGTGGCTACAACAGTAAGGCAGAACATTAATCCATAAACTCCTAATTAAGTTATGTTTAATAAGCAAAAAAGTCAATTTAATTAAAACTGCCTTCTGCTGTAATTGGAATAATTATATATTATACAAAGAACCATGTGAACTTTCACTTGGGGACAGGTATCATCTGAAATTATTTTCTACCAAAAAATTGTTAAAACAATGAACACATGCTCATTGGCATTTACCTTTGGCATTCAATTGGCATTAAAACATGGTCTTTGGCATTTACCTTTATTTCTTCGTTCATCTTTGAAGCCCAGTGTAGTGAAGCCAGGTAATAATTTGCTTGACAGTGAACTCAGATCCACAGGGTGAGTCTCTTCTTCTAATAATTTGATTTAAAAGACGACAATAATTTTCAGGAAAGCATTTCATGTTTAAAATGTATTTATGGTCAATGTTTAGCTTTTGCTGTTTTAAAAAGTTGCAGTTACCATAAAGGCTAAGTGTCTTTTAATCTGTACTTCTTTATTAAGGAGAGGTAGCATTCAGGTCCTGCATTTAAATTTCAAATACATGCTGTCAATTTGTTTCCACCTCTTATTCACAAGATCTATGGCTTAGTTATTTCACGTTCAAAGTATACAGCAGCATGTGAAATTGTTTTACTAGCCAATTCACAAACATCTAAGATCCAGCTATTGTGAAGTGATAAAAGCAGTTTCCCAGGTTGACTAAGTGGTAGTTCGTCTGTAGAAACCCAGACACCACGTAAAGAACCTTATTACGATAATTACCGTTACGGCTATCGCAATACTTCTTTCTTCTAAAGTGCTGAGAACTGTCTACTTGAAATGGCTCAAGTACTTTCAAATACGCTTTTAATCTCAAAAGAGATTCCAACACCACTTAGGACACTTCCTTTAGTTACTTTAAATCTCTCTGGCTGTTCTGGAATTGAATGGTAATTAAGCTCAATTACTAAATGACAGAAAGCAAGTTTATGCCTAGAACCTTACTGGGATAAAAAAAAAACCAAACAAACTATAACAAAAATTCAGAATATAGCATTAGCTGTAAATTCAGCGTAACTATTATTAACTGTACAGACAACCAAAAGAGATTCTGGAGCACAGAAACACCAGGAAGCAGGACAGTACTTTACAGCACGCAGTGAAAGCTTGCTCTACTCCCAGTGCCATCACTGTCTAAATCTTCAGGGGCATGATTTCAGAGGTGTTACATCACATTCATTCCATTATTAATTTTTTCAGAAATAAGTAAGGCCATGACAGCAGGCCAAAGGCTTGATTTCATTGCAGAAAAATTGACTACCAACTGAAAAGGAATTTAGACAGTAACAGAGTTACAGGCCGGCATCCCCCAATCAAAACATCGACAGAAACGTGCCTAGTGAAAAGGGTTCGTGCACTAATCAGCGCAGCCCAGGTAAGCAGTGAATGAATTCCGGACTCAGAAGGTACAGACAGGGAAGCGCTGAATCAGCAACACACAGCAGCATCAAGACCATGACATGACACTTTGTTCATTACAAACTTCCAAAACTTCTGCATTTTGAGCTCAACTAAGAAAGTGGAAAGCATAAGGCTACAAATAACATACAGCCGTAGCACAAACAAAAACCCACAGAAAAGATCAAGGAACCAAAGAAAAACAATTAAGCAAAACCTAATTAACCTAAAACTGAAATTTAGCTAATAATTTAAATTAGGAAATCAAAAAAAGGTAAAAGATGATTCTGTATTGGCATTCGTGCACTGCACGTTTACACAGGATTACAGCACTTTCACTCACCTCTAGTTTATTAGATTTTAACATTACAGGGTACTCAGAGCAAAAGCCTGTCTTCCAAGTTCTCTATAAAGTTATAGCTATGTGTAAGTGGTTATAAATAGGTGTTATTTTATCTTCTTATTGTCAGCATCAGTAAAACAGCATTTGAAGAGTGAAAGTTTGAAAGCAAAGAGAAACATCTTATATTGGAGATAATAAATGTAGCTGCTGGGGAAAACGGTTTGGGGAATATTTTTTTTAAAAAAAACAAACCCTCATCTATACTATATGGGATCTGTATGTACGGGTAAGACTTCAAAATCTGCGAGAACATTCAACATTAGAAATGTTTGCTTGAAAGATTATGGCATTTACCTTCTGCTTCTGGATCAGATGAATTTACTACGCTAAATAATAAAGTTCCATCTCCATTTTTTTTCAGATAACCAATCTGTAAATAGAACCACAAAGACAGAGAAGCAATCATTCAAAACAGTCCAAACACAAAGAAGGAACTGCTTACAAAAGAAAACTGTAACAACCGCTTTTAGCTGTATTCAGATCCTGCACTCTGGTATTCCCTTTTTAACAGAGAACCACAACTCTATCACCTCCTAGCAAATGCTTCAGAACAGAAGACTTACGAGTAAAATTCTGTACGCCATATACACAACTCCTTATTCATCTTCCTAAATCAGATGCAAAGTCTGTATCCAAGACAAACCCAATCAATTCCATTATAATTAGGATGGAGCCCGGCTTTCTGACTGCCAAGCCCACACCACACTTTTCAGAAGCAGAACTGTAACTCCGATCCATGATCTACCTCACTGTCTATTTTCAAATCCAGACTCAACTGGCTGTTTTCACACCGCACCCACAACTCTCTCTAACTAGAAGTACTTTTATAAACACACTAGCAAATTCTTGAAGAGGAAGGCATGCTGTGACAGACCTATCAGAGCATACAAACACAGTGCTAGAAAGGCACTCAGAGATGTGAAAGACAATAGAACACACTGGGGTCTGTATAGAGCCAGAACTGATGCGACAAACTAAGCTGATGTCAGAACCTGACTACCCATGAATTGTGCAAGAAAGACTGTAACTTCTCAGTGAAGACGGAAAATGAAAACTATGCTCTCCCTAAAGAAATATTAGTAAATACTTCCAAGCAAATTGAACAGTACATCTCCCTATTTTGTTGTGGGTTTTTTTGTTTGTTTTTTCCCCTCCCTCTTAAAAAGTTTAAACTCTCCATACATAAGACCAAGGCTAATGCTGGCATATAATAAAAACAGAGGTGGCAAATGCTGGGAAGAGGATGAACAGGAGCAATACCTTCAAGTGATGGCAAAAGGTAACAGCAGCTGACCTCTAAGAATGTGTCAGTGTCACCTAGATTCAGGGGGATCTGCAGCGGGTTGTCTAGCTGATTAACAGCCTAGACAGTTAAGAACTGCAAAGCTGCCTGCCTCAACATGAAATGCCCTTTGAGTAAAGCCAGCGATTAGCAGAAGATTGGTATTGCTCTAAAGGGTTCTGAAAAAGCCACTCTTACTTTGGAGGTTTCCAATAGCCTTCAATCCCAGCAAGTCTTCTAATTACCCACAGAAACAGAAATAGGATGGAGAAGCTAAACCTTCTCCCACTGTTCTTTGAGGCTTTCCTTACTAACGCAGCTGAGCCTAGGGCATCTGCATAACAAGGGCCATTGTCCAAGAAATAGTCACTTAAGTTTGAAGACACAACTGCTACCACTAATGCTTCAAAGCAAATGTTTCTTCCGCAATAGTCTTAAAAAAATAGGTGGAAAATGCAGGACGTAGCAACATCCTGATTCTTCTTTTGATTGCAGTGGTCACTAGAGTACGTGAATGCAACAGAATGAGAAATGAGCACAAAGTGTAACAGTGGTAAGAAGGCTCCACGTGATGCAAGGGAAACCGAGTAAACGTATCTCAGGACAGGCTTGTAGCGAATGCCTGTAGCCTGCACGCCAACCCTCGCGTGAAGCAATGAAGGAATCCGCCATAATCAAACAGCTATGAAAACCAAAGCCCGTTAACAGATTGTGCGGAGAAAACGGCACTGTAACCCAGCTTTTCCTCCTACCTGTTGGAACAGCACAAACCCCAAACTCATGGAACAGTACCGAAATCACGTTCAAGATGATCAAACCTGTGGTTAGCACTGTCCAAAATTCCAACATGGACAAAGTACTGCTATCTTCCCCTAGTCCCTGAAGGATGCCTGTATTTTGTGCTCACAAAAGGAGGTGCTATAGCTGACAGCTACTAACTACCTGTAGGTACAAAACTACAGGAGGCTTTTAACTTCTCACTGAAAACAGTAATTTAACACATAAAAATTCCTGAATTCCTTAGGTTGAGGGGGAAATCCTGACAACCCTTCAACCTATGCCAAAGCTTGCTTTTTCTGAGGTTGCAACAATAAGAGCAGCATGATGCTCTTTCAGTCTCTTTCAATGCTAAGGGTTGCAATTAAGGAAGCAAGATTCAAGACTGTTTCCTGCAAGTGAATTGCTAAAGATGTTCAATGCACAATACAACCCCAGATCCATTTAGGACACCTCACCACGGGAACTAAGTGATGGACAATAGTCATACTGGTATTCCACACAGAACATACATCCTAGGTGTTACAGTCTCAGAAAACATAATACTAAAGCCTGTTTCCTAGGATGAAACAAAGCATTCAATCAACAGTCAGACAGAAAATGGAATGGTGAACTCTGTTGCGCAGTAGACCTTGCTGTTGGGTAGATATCGATTGATCCTATCCCGAGCTTCATCTGCTGCATGCTCCACTAGTGCCAGGACGTGTTCTTCAGCAGTGCTATCTGTCAGGCTGCACGCATTTCCCTCAGGTTCAAATATGCAACTAAGAAAGAGAAGAGGAGCAGCTGTAGAAATTAAAAGCTAAAACAAAAGAAAGGGCTGAATTCTGGGTTTGCTTAACAGAACAATCAGTCCCACTCCTCTCCCACTGTCAGTCTACTTCAGCATTTAATTGGAATTATAATCACATAATCAAACTGAAGTTTTGCAGCAGAAGCTGAAAACTACCAAACTACTGAACTTGAAAAATTTACTTGTTTCTGTACCTTGATGAAAATAAATGAAGTATTACAAAACAGAGATTGGGAGTAAAATTGCATTAATACAAGGTGAATGCTGTATGCGTCCTTAGTCTCCCATATGCACAAATATGCTATTTCCACAAATTCCAAATAGAAAGATGCAGAAAAAAAATGGCATGATGAGGGAATGGAGACTCTGTAACTCTAATCTGAGGAAAAAAACCCAAACAGGCTGCATTTATCAGGACCATGTCATTTAGTTGCTTGTAAAAGTAGGACACTGCTCCCAATCTAACTGGGAGTCCTTAATTCCTATGGTTGTCAGTAGTGGCAATTAGTATTCCTGATCAGTATCAATCACACCATTCCTTCTCATTGAATTACGGAATTTAACCTTTATCTTTCAACAGATCCCTTTTCATTAAAGCACTAAAACACTAAAAACATAACAAATAAGCATACCTAAGATAGAACAGGACATAGCTACTATATAAAAGCAGAGAAAGGTAGTAGTATAAGGGGAAGTGTGAAGATATCAGTAGGACATGGCAGTCTTCATTATATTATATATTTAAAATAAACTTTGTACATCAAAATCTTTCAGGGCATTATACGGACATTAGACACTAGGGCCAAACACCTTAGGTACTGGGTAGAGCATCTCCTCACACCAAATCCATTTCTCTCTCCTGGGGTATCTTCTTCCATTTGCTTAGCTAAGAATTTCTCTCTGTATAGAGATTCAGATCCGATACACAAGAAAGTTTTGCTATTAAAGACAATAAAAAGACCACAGGATCATACTTTTATGAGACAAATGTGTTATACGATTTTTGTTTCAGTGAAAGTTTAAGAAAGGGTGTACACAGCAGGAAACTCCTCAACAACTGGCACTTTCTATGACACTCTACAGAACACTTAATGGACAAGAATTTTAAGAGAATGTTCAGAAGGTTGCAACATCTTGGACAAAATTCTCAAAAACTACTCAGATATTAGCATGTCCAAGCGATCACGTCACTTGTTAAACTACAGTACAGAGGTCTAAGCCGCTTTAACACTTTGCAAACATTGACTTCCGTTTTTTCTATGTTTTTAACTGTGAAATACAAAGGCAAAAAGGTTCCATTCTCCCCCCAAAGCTCTTACTGTACATCAAAACCAATAATCTATCCTACTGATGCCAAAATACCAGTGTTTAAAAGGTCAAGTTAATGAGAAAAAAACAAATTAATTCCAACTACTAAAGTTAAATAAATATTGAAAAGAATAGGAAAGTAAATTCATTCCACAACTGATTGCAAGGAAACTGGTATCAGGATAAAATTAAAGGTCAGTTATTTTTAACTACCTGTACTGTATGTTAAGGTAGATATTAAAGACAAAGCAGGACTATATGGCTTGGCAGTCTCAAGTCCTTGCTCTGTTAGCTATCTGTATTTAAAGATGAGCACAAAAGTTTCTCCTGTAATGGAGTTTATGTAAGAATTAATCAGAAGAGAAAAATCTATACTTCTGGGCACTATACAAACCAAATAACCTTATCTTTAAAAAAAAAACCACCAAACAACCCAAACCACCTGCCCCGCAATGAAGTCGTGGTTACAAAAAGGTACTGTCAGTTAATTCCTATACACAAGCCCTTAAACAAATTACACTTTGATAATTCTCCATCTCCAACAGATGTTTCTATATGCTGACATTAGAATAATTCCAGACAAAAAAAAATTACTCAGTTTAAAATTGTTTTTGAAGATACACATTCAATCTCCTATTCCCACAAAAGAACTACATTAAAATACTACTTCATTCAGGCGTTAGGCAAGATTGCAAAAACGCTTGAAGTGTAACAAAAAACATGCGGCTTTTTTTTTCTACTTTGGATATTTAAGAAAGAAGCCTGCAGAACATATCTACATGATCAGATTATTTAAGACATGACTAGTAATGGTGTTACAGTTTTATGTTCTGTCATGTAAATTCAGCATCTAGATTTTAGCTATAAAAACACAACTTTGTGACACGGGAGTGCCTATTAGCTGGCAGACAGCTATTGCACTAGCAACGTATTTTACAGAGAAGCTTAATAAGATTCCATTGGGAAGATGTTATTGTCTGCTGCAGAAATAGTCTCCTGTACCTCTATATCCTGCCAGATGAGACTAAATTTAAATAAAATCATTTACTGATCTGGAGCCACTTTGCCCTCCCAAAAAGATCCTGTTTACATTTTCATACAGTCAATCATTTTAGGAAAAAAACAAACAAAACCCCCCACAAAATAATAAAGGTATTGGTGGCTATGTTAAAAATGAAAGAGTTCAATGAGCAAAAACTACTCATTTTTTAATACAAAGGACAAAAATATCTATCTATTCTTTAACTGTGAGTGTTTAAAAGAATATGCAGTCATTCTTGGAATTGTTTGTTTCAAGTTGGGAATCATTGAATTATTAAACTAGTTCTATAAACAAACAAATACAACTGCCCATTTATCCTATGGACACAAGGAGAAAGGCTGAAAGGAGTTTTTTTCCCCTCAATTCTTTGCTGCTGTCTAACATTACAAAAGCTGCAACAAACCAGTAAGCATGCCCATTAAAACCTTTACCTAATAACTTCTTTATTTTGCTTTTTGGATTTCTTGGTAGTCTCTGCTTGTACAGGAACAACTTCAGGGACAGGTTCCTCAACTGCTGTGTCTTCATCACCCAAAAGAGCTGCCTGCTGAGAAAAATCCATGTCCTGCATAAACGACATGCTGCGCTTCAAAGCTAACAGCCGTTCCTAGAATCAGAAAGGACAGAGCGGCAGGGACTTAACCTTTCCCTCATAGCCAAGATGCTATGATAATGGGATGGGATGGGAATGGCCATGGCCTTTTTTTGTTCTTAATGCCTCGTTTCCAATGGTGATGCAACATGATTTGGTCATGGTAGCATGGCATCAGAATTTCTGCAGCCCAACTATCAAGAGAGAAACAAACAAACAAACAAAACTGCATATGCAAAGACAACCGCCTATTTTACACAAAACTTACCATAACAGCACCACATGCACGCACGCACACACACACAGGGCAGCTTACCAAAAGAACTTAATTTCACAAGGCAACAACTGTATTTTTGAGTAAAAAGTGTGTTTGCACACGCGCATCGGTGAAATCCCTGAAACCTCCCCGACGCCCACCACCTTCAAAAAAGAAAAGCTCTCTCGTTTATGCAGAAATAAAACTTAACTGAGATCTTGTTTTCAAAGTTTCAGCCACAAGCAGCGTTTTACAGCTGGGTTTTATACACATGGATCCACTGAGGCCAGTGGAAGAAGCGCCTACAGACTTCAGTGGGGCAGATGAGGTTGAGAAACAATGGTGTGGTTGTAACAAGAACACTCTCAAGCCCTTAAACATAACAGCACTAACAGGCACTGCTGCAGTTAATCACACGTGGATGAAGTAACATTTATCATTGTTATTAATTATGTTCCTTTTCAGTATGACAAAAAACCCCCAAACAGTTTCTGCTTTTTGTTTTTAATAGGTCTCTTACTTTGCTCATCATCTTAAAGCCCGTGTGCAGAATCTTCTTGGCTAGCTTGTAGTAAACAGTATCTGGTCTGTTGTAAGTCATTGCATTATCACACATCAGTTTAAAATCTGCCTGGAAAATACAAAACAAAAGAACTGTTAAAATTTTGAACTCCTTTGTTAAAGGACTGGAAGACACCATTCCATCACAGTGGCTCTCTGAAGAACACAGTAATATTTTAGTAGCAGGCCCACAGAGTAAATGCAAGCCAAAAGGTAACACAGAATTGCAAAGGTTTGAGCCGTTTTTGCTTCTTCAAAATGCTCAGTTTTGTCTGGAATTGGCTTTTTGCTTATTAAAAAAAAAACCAAAACCAAACCACAACAAAAACCCCCAAACCTTTCCCCTGAATGTCAAACATAACATTTCATTCTTATGCAAATGGACCAAACAGAAGAAATAGAGAAACAGATGGAAGGATTGAGGCACCAAGGTAAGTACATTTTGGCATTTTCCCCCACATTCTACATCAGAATAGACTTGAGAAATACAGTGATATCAGAAAGATACGAATTATCTTACATTTATTTTAATTCTAGTAATTTGACCACTTCTTCAGTCATTTGCACTAAAACAAAAACAAACAAAAACTTCAAAGCATAAGGAACAGCCTTCTAGGTGCTCATCACATGCAGCAAAAGAACAGAACAGCCAAGCCTGATTTTCTCCTCTCCTCTGAACCATAATTTGTCACACATAATTTCTAGTAATTTTTACTGACGCAAGTTCCCAAACCAAAGGTGCAAACACTCCACTGCAAACAGAACCAAATAAATCTGTTGCCGATTGAAAAAGTTTTTCCTAGGGTGCCTTTTTTCCTAGTAACATGCTACTGATCTGCACAGAAAAGCACAGAAAGCATTATTAGAAGCTCTGTGAAACACCGACTTAAGACGACATCATTATCTGCCGCTGAAAACTTCTGAAGTTGTCAAGGCACTTCACAAATTGGCTCCTAACACACTAAACTGGTGCCTGATTCAGGAATATATTTTTCTCTCTTAATAACTTTTCCATATTTTAAGCAATGAATGTTCAAGTGATTAGGTTTGATGTATTCTGCAGACACAAATGCCACATTTTTGTGCACTACTGCACTACATTTGATGATGACTTGATTACGTGCAAAAGGGTTTGCCAACAGAACAGTGTGCTTCTGGAAGAGTTAACCCCTTGGGCTTCCAGACCAGTGAACAGGTTTGCTGAGACAGTTTTCTGAAGGTTACTATTGCAGTTGGACACAGCTTTCTAAAGACTTTCTCCAGCACCCAACGCCCACGAAAAATAACCTCGCCCTACTGCAATCCTGACCAGATTCTGTAAAAACAACAGCTTGTTTTACCGTCGGTCTCCACACAGGGCTGGCAGAGTCGTGCCCTCCTAATCATCCTGCAGTTATCAAGACCACACTCAGCAAGTAGGTGAGCAGAGCTGCAGATGGGAGCCTCTGACTTCCTATGGCACTAAAGCCACCTGCCTTGGCTTAACGAGACTGTCACAACACGAGGAATTGAGCAGGTGACTCTGAGGAGCAAACTATGAGCCAAGACACCGACACAGAAGCCCATGTGAGCTACACATCTAGTGACAGCCTATGAAGTGTTGCAGAAAAGGACAGAAAAGAACCTTTTGCTCACCCAACTTTGAAGCTGACCCTTTTTTCAGCAAAACTGATGCGAGTTTTCTGCAGCAATTTCCCCTCTTCCAAAAGCAGCAAATGGTTCCTGCTGACTCTACTCTTAGATTATTTATTGGCTTGTGACTAGCCTCAGCCAGCTGTATCAGAAAGGAAAGAGAACCCTCGAGCTGGCCTTGCTTCAGAGGTCAAACCCCTCAAACTTCCTTTCGCTATTATACAGCACTACAGAGGTATAAGCGTAATTAGGTACACTCATACATCCAGAAAGGGAGTCCAACCTCTTTGTCACTGCAAAACAGGCAGACTTCTAGCAACCATTTACTGCTCCTCAGAGTATCAGCAGAAACCAAATCCTTCAGAAAAAAAAAAATAAAAAATCTGTCAGTCTAAACACTACGGCGATTTCCAGGTTTTCAGGTGGCTATCCCACCAGTTTCATTACTGCAACCTTGCCTGGAACCAGAGCCACGGAGCTCTCATTCAACCTTCCTTTTTAAGTCGCCAAATGACATAACTCAGCAAGCCAACAGAATTTAGAGACCTGAAGGCATTAACCTGACAGCAATGCTATTACAAATCCCTCACTATTTCCCACAAATCTCTACACGTTTTTTGAAAAAAAATAGAGCATGTGTAACAAAACAGAACAATCTTTATCAAAGCACCTCCAGGAAATACAAGCCATTCTCTGCTCCCCTTGCTGGAGCTTTCAAAAGAAGAAATCGACCCAAGAAGCAAGCCAATGCTCTCTGCCAAGCCTGCTGTTCCATCAACGCCACTCTGGACACCGTGCTACTGCAGACAGCTACAGAACTTGGCGAAGCACCTTCCTCCCAGGAGCTGGCAGTGCCACGAAAGACGTACTGCACAATGCACCCAATGAAGTACCACAGCAACAGCTACACACAAGAGAGCTGAAAGGCAAATTGCCAACAAACTTGCCAAGCAAGTTTCTGCCAAAAAAGCCCATTCCAAATCAAGTTACATTGAAAGCAGGGAAATTAAAGATTAAAAATATATAGTTGTTATTGAATCTTAGACAAAATGCTTCAGCATATCAAGTTTTCTTGCAGACATGTTAAAATTGCCTTTTAATCAAGCTAAGCAGGTCTAGATTTAAAAAAAAAAAAGAAAAAAAAAAGAGAGAAAAAGCTCCATGTTCTTCAACCGCTTAAGGCTTTGTGACAGGGTTACTCATGTTGATGTCTAGCAGCACGAATTCCATAGACCTTTGGAGCATGTTCTTTGTTTCCACAGTAATTTGTAGTAGCTTGTAGCAGAATCTGACAAATACAGAGCTTCCACAACGAAAAACAAAGCAAGAAACTCATTCTAACACACAGAACGTACAAAAGTACCCAGTTCTGAAAGATGCACGTTAAAATAATTAACGTAAGAAAGGCTTCCATGGTTAATAAGAATCTTCAGTTTCTTACTAAAGAGTTCTGAAATAACCAAATCTTTATCAATTCACCTTGAATTCAGTGACCGATTTGTATTCATTTGCTGCAATTTTTTCCTTCATTGTACCAAAATCCATGGGGTGCTTTATTATCATGGAATATCCAGGAGCGATGGCATCCGTGACTGGAAAAGCAAAAAACCCATGAGGATCTTTCCTAAAAATAAAAACAATACATTCAGATTTACATCAACAAACAAAAGGATCATTGGTTGTTATACCACATTAACAGTATAAAAATAATAGTACAACTTAGAACAAAAAACCACTAAAGCACTCTCATAAAACAGAAGCGTATTTAAAAAATGTCCTAATATAGGAGAGAATTTTGATTACACATATGCAGACTTCTTGCAAGTGATTCAGCCAGCTCTTCAACTAATTATTTCTTGGATGCTTTTTGTGTGTCTACACTCCAAATGGGCCTTTTGGCTTCACTAAGTAATAACCTCTTCAATTCTTCTTGTTCATGAGGTCCTCTAAAAATAACGATAGTATTTAATATTTTCAAATTATTTCCAAATTCAACTTACTGCTATGTAATGAAAAAGGAAAATGAAATATTGTTTGTTGGTTTTGTTTTTTTTTCTGGGTTGTTTTTTTTTTTGTTTGTTTGTTTGTTTGTTGTCCCGTTCCCCCCCCCCAAAAAAAACCCCGACATGAGGTAGAGCATTAACATCTCATGGAAAACAATAAAATAAAAAGCCTCTCCAAATTAAAAAGTTTTATCAAATAAGGAGGTATAAACTTGGTTTGGTATGTGATAGAGGTCACAGAATAACCCAAAATTTCATGAGAACAGTTGAATCTTTTAAACTATTATAATTCATAACATCTTTTAATTCTTAAACCAAGTCATTAATAGCTGGTAAATTTATGATGGCACTGTATCCTCTGCCCAAAATGCTGCCGTGCCAAAAGCTAGAATTGCACAGCAGGTAGCAATTTTACTTAACTGATCTTTAAAAACCATCAGGTCTGACCTAAGGTTACTAAACACGAGAGCCAGCCTCTAGGCACTATTTCCAAGCAGAAAACCAGGACAAGAGGCTGTCAAGTACCACGTGTAAACACGCCTCAGACACTGCCGACACGCTGCAGGTACAAGATGCTTCATACCTTTGAAGCTGGCGGAGGAAGTGTTCCAGTAACTGCTGGATCGGCGTGCTCTCACTTTCAGCTGCAGTTTGAGACAGAAACACAGGTAAGTGCAAGGAAACAGAATACAGGTATAGATACCTATTTAAAGATATAGATATCAGAGAGAAAAATCTTAACTGCAAGTACAGCTTGTACCGATCTGAAGGTCACAGACACGGATTTCAAAGCAGCGCACGTCAGATTTCTAAGCACACAGTAACTATTTCTTCTCCTTTACTCCTTACTGAGTTTTAATCAGACATCAAACTTACCGAGTTTTAGTAGACATTAAACCAGATGTAATGTTAAGTCTAGCAGTTGTAAGAAAATGCACTGATAAGGTGAAAGTAAGGTGTTACGTATTTGTACAGGAAAAGAAAAGTGAAACTTGGTTGCTCAGACACTGCAGTTGGGAAATCCACATTCTTACAACACGTTATCTGTGCAATTCTGATGGTTTCTTTACCATAACACCCATGCAATTGGCTTCTCTGAATCTTTTCAATCAAAAAGAAGTGGCAAATAGATGCAGATTTGCTGGCAAGAGAGGTACCGATTAACTTCACTTCCCGGATGGATTAAACAATGAACACTACACATTGATTACCTGTTCCATGCACATGCCTCAGAGACACGGGCTTTAATGGGAAGTTTGAAAAACTAAATAAGCAGCATGCTGAAATCCAGAATTAAAACTCCAACTCTTCATCACGATAATGAAGAGACATTTCCCTTCTTAACCAGAACAGGGAAGATAATTTAAATGCTTCTGAATGACATTTTTGAAGCAGATGAAAATAGAAGCCCTGTCAATACAGGTATCAGTTTTCAGCTTGCCAGTTTTTCAAGGCTCCAGGCTACCCACACACATAAAGCTTTGACCAGAAAATTTCAGTTACCCCTACTAGGTCACCTTGACAGTTGGTCGACACCATTCCTCATTTAACGTGTAATCATAATTTAAATTCCTCAATAAATTACTTAACCAGTCAATAGGTAGTGTTTCAAAGACAAGACTCAAGATATTCCTAAAGACCCAACTTTTTGCTACTAAGTTCCATTTCTAGGCACACATGTAGCGAGATCATGATGTGCTTGAAAATTCTTGTAAGTAAAAGTTCCCACTGGATAACATCGAATTTTAACTACCAAGCAATGGCTACAGGTAGCGAAAGCACGGCCAAATCCAAAGGGATTAACCATGCAGAAGTTACCACACACAATTTAAGTATTTTGGCTGGTGATGAGAACTAAAGAAGACTGGCAAATGAAAACTGGAGGGATTACGGTCTTTAGAGACACCCTATCAGAACTTACTGCCATCCTTTTGATGAAAATTAGAGACACTAAAATTAAAACTTCACACAGGTTATTAAAAGAAAAAAAGACAGTAACAACAGCTAAGCAGTCTCCACAAGATTTCTTCCCTCGAACTGAGAAATATTGAGTTTCAGATGTTCTGACCATTATTTCATAAATGAGGAGGAAATGCCAAGGAGGAGGAGTCAGGGGAACACTACGCACAACAACGCTTTTATACCAGCTGTATTCTCCCAAGTAACAGGAGCCAGAGATGATGTCCTTGGCAAGTTCAGTCATGAAAACAAACCTCCTAAAACCAGAGGCACCAAGAGGAATACCAACTTTTCAGACAGGAGAAAGTTCTGAATGTTGGAAAAAATGAAGTCTCTAGATTTCAGCAAATCCTCAGGGAAATTTTACATGTTGGTACCTTTGACAAAAGCTTTGTGTGACGTGCTTTTAAAAACACCCAAGATGATTTTAATTTTTCACACTCCTCACCTGGCTGGGTTCTGCATGCTCTGACAGGACGATCTGGAGGAGGTTCAACCTCCACTTTTTTCCCAGGATCAAAGTCATCAGTTTCTCCTTCAGTATCACACTGTTCTTTCTCCCTTTTCCTCTTTTTCTCTTCCTAGCACAGCGGGAAGAAGACAGAATTTAGAGGAATGTACTTGGAATGTACAATCCCACCCATCAAAATGTAAGAGACAGTGTTTTTTGTTTGGAATACTCTATCCATATCTGAGCCATAACATGGTTTAAACAATAGTGCACACATTTTCACTGTCACTTTTTCAATTTTCTTCTCTGATTAAAACTAACTGTTCACCTTTTGCTTCTTTGTATTTGATATACTATTGTTCTGTCATTAGTTACTGCACTTTTACTGAAAATAACGTTAAAGCTGAAGCTATTATATGTAAAATTGCATGATAATAAGCTACACCAGAGAGGAAAGGAAGTCAATTTACTATTCAGTAAAGATCAGTCTGTAGCTCTGCTTTGATCAACCTGTTTTTGTTGTTTGGTGCATTAAACAGCAATCCATAAATCTTGTGATAATTTAGGAAGCCTTCAAAAGAACCATAAGAAATGCTCTGTAACAGTGGTGGCAATTAAGGACCTCTTCCTAGGCTGCAAAGCAAAGACATGTCTCAGTCAATCCTATAAACTAACAGTCATTATTCACGTTTGCACAGAAAAGCATACTGTCATTAACCTTCTTCAGAGTACAGTTTTGTTACTTATCTATCCGTCAGCTTCTTCTGCATGGATTAATAATGAAGTTCTGGGGAATACAAAAATCCAAACCACCACCACTTAGCAAAGGCAAACCAAACGGGGTTTTTTGATGCTACAAGAACTTGTATTAAAGACAGTTGTTTTGCTACATTTCAAGTCCCAGCCATACTCTTAACTGAAACATTTGAAAATGTTTGTAAAGAAAATTTTCCACTATCTGCCCTGTATTCAAGAGCTTCTGAATGATCCTACAAGATGTATCACTTTCAAGCCATACAAGCCCAACAAACTTATCAATTCAAAATGACAGATTTTAGCCACACATAGTTGTAGTGAAACACAGTCATGCGAGAATAGTAAAACTACATGACAAAGAATTAAAAAAAGAGGTCAGAGAATCATTAGTGCACAAAAGAAGTATTACTAAAATGACATGGTACTGTATGAAATGTAACTGTACCGTCAGTTGCCTATTTCAATCTAACTCCTAAAGGGTCAGCACGGACAACTAAGGTGAGCACACCACTTGCTACTAACGAAACCACAAAGCCCAGCACGCAGGTTATTCGAAACAAGAACCAACAAGACTGTCCTACCTCAGTACTCAACTGATCAGATTTCAGAAAGCTGTTCTGAGCAAACACATTCATGTCCAATAACTTGGCATACCTCAGGAACAGAAATGCAATCTAGATTTATTTGAAATGCTGAAAATACCCTCCCCAAAAGGAAGCAAAACATGTGCCTGACCTGGCTGAAATATAAAACGTTCAACCTAAACCCAGAAGCATTCATACTTACAGACAAAGCAAACGGATATGCAAAACAAATGGTTACAAGAAACAAGCTTTTACTTTGTTCAAAAAATCATCACAGGGATTTCTCTTTTAAATGGGAGAAATACACCAACACACACACATGGGTTTTCTACGTTTGTGAAGTGCTGTCTCCAAACAATCAGCTTCTTGCAACAGTGTTTAAAAAAAAAAAAAGTTCAGATACTCTGTCCCAGATTTTAGATCTGATAAGCAAGCATGAAGACTGGTATGTCTGAATTCTAATAATCACAGCTTACCTTTCTCTTTCTTCTTTCCTCATCATCTAAATGCTTTTCTTTTTCCTTCTCAGACTTTTTTTTCTTTTTTTTCTTCTTTTCTTTATGTCGTTCTCGCTCATGATCTGATCTGTCATCGTAGTAACTAGAATCATGCCCGGACCCAGAAAGTTCAGTCACTTCACTTCCTCCAACTTTAAGTACCAGCTTTAAAGGTTTTTCCAAAGGCTTATCCACATAATCTAAATTTAAAAAGTAAAATGTTTTGTAAATGTTCATGTAGGCGATAGCATACAGCAATTACTGAAACTTCTTCTAGAAATACTGTTTACAAGTATTTGCTGCAGTCTGAAAATATATGCTATACATTTGGAGAGAAAATTAACAGATAAGACTAATAAATCCAAGTTAAGAAACAGTTGTTCAGCACATTTAAGAATCATAGAGTCATCAGGTTAGAAAAGACCTCTAAGATGAAGTCCAACCATCAACCCAACACCACCCATGCCCACTAAACCATGCCCCAAAGTGCCCCACACCTACGTGTTTTTTAAATACCTCCAGGGATGG